TTCGTATTATTGTTGTCAAAAATTTATATTTCGCCATAGGCCTAAAAACTAGCAGAAGGAATTTTAAATAAATATCTGCGAAAGAAAAATTTTCCGCAAACCTAATTTAAATTCTAATCTTAGATTGAAGGGCTTTGCTAGAAACTGAACGTAAAATTCTAATTTGTGATATTTACAGAATTTAAAGTTATGTTGATTGTTGTAATGTTTCGATCATTTTCGTTGTAAAACCAAAAGTACAACTTGTATGTGGTCCCGGGAAGTACTAAATTAGAGCCTGGTCTACCAACTGTAATGTTTAACAATTCGTGATGACCCTGAAAAGAATAAATTAGAAAAATCTGGAGAAAAGTTTCTACAAGTTATGAAATTTAATTACAAGCAATGGACATGGATGAAGTGATCCTTTTGGTAAAGCGTGTTTTACCAAATTCATAGCATATTTAATTGAAGTTGTGTTACTTGTTCCACTGAGAAAGCTGCAAATATCAATATTGTCACCATTTATTAGCGACACAAAACGTTTTCCTATTTTAACACTGAAGTCGTAAGAAAGCTAAAAATTGTTAAAAGAAATTATTTTTTTAAAATTGTAAGAAATATTTTTATTTACCTTAGCTGAATTAACTGTTTTGATGAAATCTAACACAACATTAAGTCCTGATTGTTGTTTTGAGACAGGCTTAACATAACATTCTGAAATCAAAATAGTTTTATTGGATCCTGCACAAGATATTGAAGTGTAGGAAAGAATTCGTTCAGCATTATAAAGTTTCCAAACTTCAGAACTTCCAATTATTACAAAAAGTATCAAAAATTTCATCTTTGGATTACAAAAACAAACTTAAAGCTAGAAATTTGAAATAAATAATAAATTTACGATGTAAATTTTTTATGATTTTTGATACGTTAACACAAACACGATAGTTGTATCAGATTATCTTTATCACTATAATTTCCATCAAAAACAAAATTTGTGTAGTGTTAATTACTTCCTGTTGACAAAAAATAGTTTCTTTTCTGAAACATCGCTTTATATACAAATTTGATTAGGGCCTTCGTCTAGTTTCGATAATTTTGATAATTTTAAAAACATGAAGACACATTCCGTTCGAATATTGAAGAGCTTGTTCTATTTGGTGTAGTTATAATCGATTTTTTTTTTATTGAGATATGAAAATCAATGGAAACTTCAGTTTTTAAAAAGTGGAAAGTAAATTATGGAAAAATAGTTAAAAGATCTGAATTTTTTGTTTATTTTTCCTGTAAGTTTTTATGATTCATGAAGAAAATTGCATAATAAAATGTTAATCTTGTACATCTTTAGACTCAGCCACTATTTTGAGTGAAGCAACATTTTGATCATCATCATTAAAGAATCTTAAGGAACAGAGATAAGTTGCTTCGGGGATATTTGATGCCTTTGAATCGAGTCTACCAGCTGTGATGTTTACTAAGTCGTGATGGCCCTTAAAATAAACAAAATTAAATAAAATTTCAACTCTAATCAATTTTTGTTGTGTAATTACCGACAATGGACAAGGTCGAAGTGATCTTTTTGGAATTGATTTCCTAATTATATTCAATCCATATCTGACAGCATTACTTTGCTTTCCACTTAAAATTTCACAAATGTCAATATCAGAACCACTTATTAAAGTTTGAAAATTATTTCCAATTTTCATGCTGAAATCGTAGGCAAGCTGAGAAAGAAAAATTTTTAATTGTAAGACAATAGAAAAGCAATGCAAGAGTCTCCTCACTTTTAATGAATAAACTTTCTTCGTGAAATCAAATACAAGATTAAATCCATGCGTTTCCTTCGCAACGAGTCTGCTATAACATTCTGTAATCACTGCAGTTTTGTTGGAACCTGAACATGTTATTGAAGGATATGTAATGACACGTTTTGCATCAGAAAATCTGGAAAAATGAAAAGCTCCAAGAATTATAAAAAAGCTTAAAGCTTTGAAAACTTTCATCCTTATTTGTCAGCGGTAAACTCAAAATCTAGTCGAAAAAACTTTTTCTCTCCTCATTTTGTTTGCTTGATGTCAATTATTCTTATATTTGAAGGTAATTACAAGATAAAATCTTCTACTGTAATCAAAGTCTAATGTGCTCAACATAGAAAGATAATTTTTTAATGTTTCAGCGAAAATTTCATATCAAATCATTTAAACTTCATTTCCTGCTTCAATAATTTTATTTATTTTCGGCATTTTATAAATTGTACAACAAACAATTATTTCCTGAATTTAAGCAAAAATTTAAGTAATTTATTTGTTCGATGTAATTTTAGACATCCTTTGTTGTACATGTTACATTGAGTGACGCTATGTTGTCATCTTCCTTATTGTAATATTTCAATTTAATCATGTACGTTGCTTCCGGAAATTTTGTCATCTTTGATTCTCCTGCACCTGACAAAATATTTTTTAATTCTATCGTGCCCTCCTAATAGAAAGAATTTTTAATTTCTTATGATTTAAAATGTCTGAAAGTTCTTACTTTATATGGACATGGATGCAAAGCTCCATCAGGAAAATGTCTTCGAACCAAATTTAGACCATAATTAAGTGCAATGCTCTTCTTCGATCCATCGAGATACTTGCACATGTCAATATCTTTACCATTTATAAGAGAACGAAATCCTCTTTTTCCTGCTTTTAAAGTTACATCATACCCAAACTTATAATTAAAAAAATATAAATTTAGTGTCTTGTTAAATAAAATTAAAGTTCATCTTACCATAACTTCTGGAACTGTTTTAAGGAAATGTATAACAACATTCAATGTTGCAATATCTTTTGTGATGGGCTTCACAAAGCATTCGAAAAAAACCATACTTTTGTTTGAACTTGTGCATGATACGGTGTCGAAAGTGATGACTCGTTTCGATAAAGAAATTTTCAAAATTGCACTGAAAAACGTGCAGATAACAAAAAATTTCGTCGCGTTGAAAGCTCTCATTTCAGTCAATTGAAGGAAAAAAAAGGAATTAAGCTCGACGAACATTAAAAAAAAATAGATTTCAATTATCTTGAATAATTAGACGTAAATATCAAAATAATCTAAAATAACTTTTTAATTGCTTGATGAATTTCACTTTTTTGTTAATCAGGGATCGTAACTGAATGAGGTGTCATCACATCATGTACTTGATAAAGGTTTTGCTGGTTATTATATACTTTTTTATTAAATTATTCATTAACAGAAATAAAATATTCGTGATTCAAACATCCTTTGCTATAGAGAGAAATGTAATTGTTGCAATATTTTCGTCTTCAGCATTATGAAATTTTATCATAACTCGATATGATGCTGCTGGAAATTTTGTCTTTCCTTCTGAAGGATCTAACATAATATTTTTGAACTCCAAAGTTCCCTTGAATAATTTTTTTATCAAAATTTTCATCTTATTTAGAGAAGTGAATTTAAAACTTACAGCATATGGACATGGATGCAAAGTTCCTTTGGGAAATTTCTTTCGTACTAAATTAAGACCATAAGTAAGAGCTGCATTTGTTATTGTTCCATCGAGATACTTGCACATGTCAACATAATTACCACTCATAATCGATCGATAGCCTCTTCGAGTTATCTTTATTGCGATATCATACTGAAACTGATTATTCTAATAAATAAAAAGAGCTCTTTGAAGTGATTAAAAATCTACTAACGAATCCATGTTGAACTGTGTTATGAAACTTAACTACAACATTTAGTGAGGCTTTTTCTTTAGTTACTGGTATCACTTCACATTGTTGGATCATCGCACTTATGTTTGAACTCGAACATGTTACTGATTCAAAAGAAATGATTCGTGTTGCTGATGATGAACTTGGAAGACTGGATAATGTCAGTAAAAATAGTTTAAACAATATTAAAGCTCTCATCTCAATCGATTGAAATAGTCAAACAGAATAAAACTGGAACCTCAAAAAACTGCTATGGCTCTGATTATAATCGAATGTTATTAATGGTAGCAGTTAGACATAAATTACATGCTTGATAAGGACGTTGTTAATCGTTAAAACGATCTTTGATGCAAGGGTGAAATTATAATAAGAATTTTAATTGGTCCCTAATTTTTAAACTGGGCGATTATGTGCAGGGATGGGAAAAGAGTTCTTGATTCACTGATTTCAAACAAAGAAAAGCTGAATAAAAATTTGGGGGAAGTCGAACCTTGGTTCTGAATCCATAAAAATAGAACTTCAGAGAGATGCCCATCCCTGATTACACTGAAAATAATAATTTAGTAGAACAAAAAACCATAACTGATTTATTTGAGTGAAACAACTTGTTGAAATTTTTTTTAATTACTCTAAATCATTAAAAAGATATATGTAATACTAAACATTCCTTGTCATCTTCGTTATAAAACGATGTAATAGGCTCTCGCCAGAAGATTTTTCATACGATCGGCCAAGTCTTCAAAAATTAATTTTCAAATTTCTAAGTTTGCTTTAATTAAATTAAATTTTACTCACTGATTATTTTGCAAACAAAGAAATTCAGTTAACTGTGTTTATTTGATTATTTAATAATTTAAACATTCTTGGATGTACAAATCATTGTAACTTCCACGATTTTGTCATCTTCATTATTATAGAATTTCAAAATAATTTTGTATGTTGCTTCTGGAAATGTTGTCATCTTTGATTCTGCTGAACCTGATAAAACATCTGTCAATGCCAGTATTCCCTTAAAATATAAATTTTTAGAATTTTCACTTCAAGCGTAAGAAATTCAAGGATCTAATTTCAAAGCTCACAGAATATGGACATGGATGTAAAACTCCTTTCGGAAGATATTTTTTCACCAGATTAATACCATAGTTGATTGCGATATTTACGTCTGAACCATCCAAAAACTTGCACAAATCAATATCCTTTCCGTTCATGATCGAGCGAAAGCCTCTACGTGGTGTCTTCAAAGCTACGTCATATTTGAGCTTATGGTAGAAAAAATATTTAATAATTTTATATGTTAAGGCAGTCATTATTTTGGAAGCTTTTTAAATGGATTTTTACTAACTAATGCTTTGGGAACCGGTTTGACAAAATGTAATATGACATTAAGTGATGATCTGTCTTTTGTAACTGGCTTAGCAAAACATTCAAATGCCTTCACACTTTTATTTGATACTGTGCACGTCACGGAATCGAATGTACTTAATAACTCGACCAGCGAATGAGACATTAAAAACAGTGAAAATCGTGTAAATCATAAGATTTTGGAAACCGAAAACTGTTTTCATTTTAAATCATTGAAATGATTAGACAGAATAACGTTGAAATATTAGTAAAATTTTGGAATAATTCGTTGCTGAAGCAAATTAAAATCAAGAAGGTCTAAAATGGATGTTAAATTGTTCACACACTTAAATATTTAAAACAGGAATAATTTGCTTTCATTAGAATTGGAGTACGATTTATGACTGGTTATAATGATTTAAAATATTTTATTGCTTCCATAAGCAGTGAGTTTCAATAATTAAAGTAAATTTTGTTGNCGACCAGCGGATAAGACATTAAAAACAGTGAAAATCGTGTAAATCATAAGATTTTGGAAACCGAAAACTGTTTTCATTTTAATTCATTGAAATTATTAGACAGAATAACGTTGAAATGTCAGTAAAATTTTGGAATAATTCGTTGCTGAAGTAGATTAAAATCAAGAACGTCTAAAATGGATGTTAAATTGTTCACACACTTAAATATTTAAAACAGGATAATGATTTAAAATATTTTATTGCTTCCATAAGCAGTGAGTTTCAATAATTAAAGTGAATTTTGTTGAAGATAGCACTGAAAATAGTTTAGAACTGAAATTTAAGTTGAATATTTGAAATTTTCATGCAACGTGACTCAAATGTCAAAGTTTTAGAGGTGAATCCTATGTTGTCATCACCATCGTTAAAAACTTTAAATTGAATCGATGTTGCAAATGGAAATTTGATCTTTTTTGAATCAATCGAACCTGCTAAAATATTTTTCAATTCTTGCCTCCCCTAAACAAAAATAATTTTTTAAGTTTTTATTTTTTACAACAATTCTCAATTACATAGATAAATATGAAATATTGAGAAGCTTCGCTGCTGCTTTTAGTGGATAATGAAATATCAAGAGTATACATCATTCGTGTAGAATTTCTATTTCAGTCTAACGACTTGATAACCTAGAGAGATTTCTGAATGAACTTTAGTGCAAAAAAAAATCAAATAAAATCTTCCCACTCACGCTTTTCCGTTTCGCTTTTTCCCTTCCGGCTTTCCCACAAGAAATCTTCCCTTCTTCTAACAAAAATTAGGTTTCAACATTGCATGCAACTGTCAAAAAAAATCTTTTGTCGATATTTTATGTGGGTGCGTTTGAGAAATTCTGCGAACAAAACCGCATCATATCGAATTTCAATTATCAATAAGCATTTATTCATAATTTTTTGCGTTACCAAGGCTTTGTTTACATCATAAATCTCTCGGTATTGTGGATAGAAATTTATTTATTAGAATGAGAATGTCACCGGAAGAGTTTAATTTATATGTATGAGCATTCACTGTAACTACGAAAATTCGCTCAACGGAAAACAAATTTCATTTATAAATTTTTCCATCTCACTGTGACTCGCTCTCAGATATCGATGAAGGCTCAAAGTCTCTCGCACTCTCGCACTATAAAACACCTTTACAAACAATGAGCTCAAATTTTTTATTCTTCTTTTGTTTATTCCGCTTTTGTCGTTCGTTGAATTAACATGTGATGCGGTCGAGTGTAGAAATTATTTTTATTGTGAACTGAATTTCAAAGAAAAAAGTGAAAGAGAAAAAAAAGATTTTTTAATTAATTGAATAAAAAAAAATAGAACTTTTATGCTCAAATTTCATCTCGTGGACAGTAAAACAATGGACTGTTAGTTTAAAAACATTTCCGGAAATACGATACTACTTGTGATCTCAATTTAGTGACTGAATTTAATGATTTCATTTTTTTCATTGAGACTGATGATAATTAACGGTGAAAACATAAGAGGAAAAGCAGTTTCAAGTTTCACAAAAAGGACTTTTTAATGTGGAAATAAATTTTAAGCATCACAATTGAGTGTGCGACATTTTAACTCGCATGAATTTTATGGATTACGAGACCTGTTTGATGGTTTTCACATGGTAAATAACATGATTTGCATAATTATTCTCAGACGTCGCTGACACAACGCTTGCAAGTGTTTAAACCACTTCGCAAACAAATCTATTACTGAAGATAAACAAAGTTAATTTATGGCCTTATGCAACTTCAACCCTCACGCTTTTCTAACTATGCTTCGAAACATTTTATTCAGATATTTGTTGATGGTTGGAGAATGAGAAGGGTCGCAAAAAATTGTTTTCGTCGTGTCGTTATGGCGATTTTATCGAAATTCCATGCTACAAGCAAACGAGGCTTTCTTATTTGACATTAAATAATGATTAAAATAAAAAGTTCTTGCTTGCTTCTATCCAATGTTAATGGAAAAGTTTTAAAAGGAAATTTTAAGTCTTCATGAAATTCCCCCAAAGTACAAAAGTTCAAATGAAAATCTCAATCAAAAAACAAATCAAATCCTTTTCGATTTGGGAAACCCCCAAAAAATCAACATGAAAATCGATATAAGCTGAGTTTGTTTTGATTGATTGGTTTAAATTGCATCATGCTTAATAAAATTTTGTACTGAAACATTTCAAGTAGGTACCTTACAAATTACTTTCTTTTACACAAAAATAAAGAAAAAAATTCTTGTTGATTAATTTTTAATACTTAACAAAAGCAGAAAGCAGACAAAGGAAAATCAAAAGCGCGAAAACGGCTGAAATCAGGAGGCGAATTTCTCATGCAAACGAGGGAAGAAGAAAATGTAAATTTGTTTCGTTTTATTTTATGTATTTTATTTCAAAAAAAAATTAATATTCTTCTTTTTTTGTGGGAAATCGTCATCGTCACGCACTGTGAATCGCTTCGAAAAAAACTTTTTTTCTTTCTTGTTTTGATGTGAAAGAATGAGAAAAAGGAAGAAAGGAGAAGAAGACCTTAAAATGAAATGAAATCTGACATGTTGTTGCACTTTAGGAAGTTCTCAATGTTTTGTAACAGTTTTCTTGTGGTTTCATAAATTCATCTACTATTAAATTAGTTAATTATCAACAAACTTCTCTCAAGATCTAATTAAAAATAAACTTTCTAGTGTACTCATGTACAAAACCTTCACAATTTGAATTATTTTCTCTCGCAACATGTCATCAAAAAGATGAAAAGAAATTCTTGACCTCCCGTTGACTGAAGATTATTTCTAATTTTTCTCCATCACTGAACCTTAACCAGCAAGAAAAGGATCTGCTTTGAACAACTTCAGTTTTTTATTATTGTTTTCTGCATCCAATTGTTGAAAGACATAAAAAACGACCATAAAATCATAAACCATTGCCATTGTCCAGCAAATGGTTCATGATCCCATTTTGGCTTTTGAAACATTTGTGATGAGGCTTTTTCTCATAAAATAAAATTTCTATTGCAATTAGAATTGTAAATTAAAATTAAAATTTTTCTGGTTTCATGGTGGAACGTTTGTACTGTAGTTAAATGTGAAAATAGGAAATGATATCAATATCAATTACAAATTTCAATAAATGACATTAATAGCTATGATTGAGTCATAACCTTGGCTTTATATGCTACATGTGAACATTCCCACACGCAATTCAATTAAATTCAATGAATAATTTCTTCTTTATTTTCAATAATTCTATTTAAAGAGGTGAATGGAATGAAAGATTATAAATGTAAAGTTGGTCAGTTACGACAACATAATTTATGTAATCGGAATTTATTCATTTTTAAGGTTCTCGCTTTTTAAATTTTTAAGACAAGTTCAAGGTCACTGATGCAGTCATAATTGTTAATCATCCCTTCCGCTTTCCTTACAGATGTTAACAAACAGTTGTGAAGATTTCGTCATGACGCCTATCAAGTGCCCACCACCAAAAATCGTCGCTGTCAAAAGATCTTTGAAGAAACCCAACAAGAAACTTAACATCATGGACGACGACGAGGATTTTAATAATAAAGAAGGTTTCATCAATGACACTGACTCGATCTCGTCTTTCGATTCGAAAGATCTCATCGAGTTTGAACGTGACGAGCCGTTAATAGATTTAAGCGAAGACTTGCCTCCTGCCATGGAAGAGAAGTTAAGTCAAGACACCGTCAGCAATAAGAATGCCAAAAATTCCACAACATCACTCTCCCTATTAGATTTGTTGGAAATTGGAAGTGTAATGAGAGCAAGCGAGACAGCAAGGTTGGGGAGCTGCGCAGAAATGAACGTTTCTGATAGAAATCCTTTAGAGTTAAAGGCATCATTATCATCGTCATTGCAAAATATTCCAGTCGAATATCCTGGCGCATGTGCGACATCGTCTGGGAATACGGACAAATTGTCTGCTGTTTTTCCACCTTTATCAATCCAACTAGAAAATCCATCGATTGTGAAAATTCGCACTCATCACTCCGTGAATGCAAATAGTGAGAAACAAGAGACTTTTAAAGTTGTTGAAAGTGTAGAAAGTGTTGTTGAATTAGTGCAAGAAGGAATTGATGAGAAATTCGTAAATTCAACTTCAAAAAGTTCACATTCATGTCAAAAAGAAAAGTTTGATGAAAATTCATCAATTTTCCTATCGAAGGATTCGCCCTGTTCTCGTCCATTGTGTAAAAGTGAAAACTGCTGCTGCACGACCAGTGATGAAAGTGTCGTTGAACGAAAATTCACTGATGAAATTGTGAACAAAGAAAAAGAAAATTTAAGCTTTTGCTTGCACAATCATCATCAGAATTTGCAGCAGCAGCAATCGGGAAAAGATGATGTGGATTCTGAAGTGAATCTTAAAGTTCAGTTAAAGGTTAATGATACTAAAACCGAAGCAAGTGACAAAAATAATAATCGTGAATCTGTGTGCAATCGAAATTCGTTTGATCTCGAATCATTGTCCTTAACTCGTGTCAGTCGCGAGTATTTAACACGAGACGAGGATTCGAACGAAAAGCTAAAGTTTCTTTCACCTCACACTTCGCAACGTAAGTTTCCACCAAAGTTCTACAGCTCCACAAACTCGTTAAACCAGGATTGCTTCGAGGCGAGTTCACGTCTTAAAAGATTAGAAGAAAGATTCAAAGGATTTTCATACACAAAGAAATTGCTGCGAAGTTCAAAAGTCTTTTCTAAGTCTGAAGAAATTCTCAGCTCATACGGTAAAGAGTCAAAATCGTCCGATTCATTGAACTCATCTATCCAGTTTCCTTTGTCAACGACGACCTTATCTGAAGATTGTTTGCGTCATTTGACCGAAGGACACGAAAGCGAAACTCAGAAAACTTCTGCTAATAATAAAAACGTCGAGGAGGAAAAACGAACGTCATCGAGTGATGGGATTTCTGGTGAGTCCGATAGCCGAGATTAACAGAAAAAAGGATTTTTTATAAAAACATTCGGTTTTCCCTTCTCTCCATGCATTTTCATCATTGATCATTAAATCATCATTAATCCCATTTTTTTAAACTCATCATCAATGATGGAACTTTGAGAAAAAATTTCTTTTATCAGATGATTTCTTATTGACAATTTTTTTGCATGAAATCACAAGATAAGAAAAGAAAAACTTTATTCAATGAAAATTTGGAAATTTAAATAATTTTCTGATTGATTCCGAGAAAAAACTTTTCTTTCAATGTTTCGTGCAGCTGTAAAGTTGTTGCTCGAGAAATGATTTGCTTGTTAGAAAAAAAATCTGATTGATAGATGAATTAAATTATTTGCTTTGGTAAACCTCAAGGCGTGATAAGAAATTAATGATTAACATCACGAAAGTTTCTCTATGAGACAATTTGAGTGGTATTAACATAGAGCTGACGATGCTGTATGAAAATTTTATTACATTTGAGAGTCGCTTAAGTCATAACTAGATAAAAAAAAAACTTTTCTAAAAATAGAAAATCAAATTTAAATTTCATTCGCTATTGGATGTTGCGCAACTCTCTAAAGTCTCATGACGTTAAATATTGAGTACTAGAAGGAAGTGAAACTTCACATTCCATTTCACATAACACTTTCTTGGTTTCTTTAGAAGACCCAAGGCATAATCTTTAATCCTTTCGTGATCGATTTTTTATTCTCATGAAAATTTATTTTCTTCTCATTTTCATTTCCATGCGACGAATTCAAAATTTCCCCAATCAGAATGTAAGAATACATTAAGCAAACAACAGTCGCCCTCATCATTAAGGATACAATCCCCGGAATCGACAGCTGAATCGGATGAGATTTGTAAAATATTTCGCGACAAGGAGAAAAGTAATAAAAGTGAAAGTGCTTTAAATTGTGAAGTAGAAGAAGGAGAAGAGGAAGAAGAAAATTGTAGTTTTGTTTATTACGAAGAAGAGACTGGAGATCAATCACTGTCGATTGAAGACGACACAACTGGCAAGCATAGTGTCTTCAACGACCTTCTCTTCTCAAATTGTGAATTCGATGCTCAGACATTCCATCAATATTTAAACGAATACGAAGAATCGGATCAGCAAAAACACTGCCCCGATCATAATTGCAACTCAGACGACGAAAAAAGTGATGAAAGTGATTTCTTTTGTGATTGTTTAGTTGAAGCAGTGCCTTTGTATCATACGAACATAATGCGAGAAACAAGTGGAAAGTTGCGTGGTCTTTTAAAACCAGCAAATCGTCCACCACCCGCACGCAAGAATCGTGTCGTGTTCGACGAAACACGAAATGAGTTTTTTGAAGCCGATTATATAATTTTGATACGCGAAGATTGTCCGTATGATGAAGAAGACGAAGAGCCATGTACGTGCGGTGACCATGAGCTTGTGCGAATATGTTGTGATGAAGGATGTAATTGTGGATACACAGACGACGGACGAACGCCACCGGTGAGTTTTCTTTTTTCATTTTACATTGAAATTCAATTCCACAATCCGACACACTCGAAATGAAGCATAAATTCTGAATTTTTATTCCATTTACGAGCCCTAAAATTAAACAATCAATGCTTTCAAGTTATGAAATAAGTTTTTCAATTCAGGAAACTGCGCCCCCCACATCAACTCTCGAACTTTCATAGCGCACCTATTGAATTTACGTAGACTCTCGTGAGTTTTAATAATGCACAGAGCAACTTATTCGTTAAATTGTTCATTTCCTATTTTTCCAATTTTATTTTATTTTACATGCTGATGGCTGCTTTTTTTTTACGGTTCTTTGAACAAACATTTTCCCTTTCGTTTTGATGATGACATTGCCAATACAGAACACATTTTTATGTCATTCATCTTCCAACTTATTTTGTTTTGTGTCTTAATTTTGGGAATTCATCGTTATTCATGTACTTGGCTTCTTCTTGCTTCTGTCTCCTTGGAGAATTTCCATGATGATGATGACATTGATTAGACTCCAGTGATTTAAGAAGGAAATATTTTCAATGCTGTCAAAAGCTCGCTGACATTTTCATACACTTTCGCATAATATTTTTATTGAGCAAAAACACGTTTCCCTTAGTTATGTTTATCTATAATCTTAGCAACGTGCTGAGATTACGTCATAGAATTCATACATCGCTATTTATGATATATTTATGTGAGTTCAAGGAAAATTCTTTTTATATTTCCGTGCAGCATTTCTTTTCAGAACGAGAAATAAATATTTAGGCATTATGAAAAGCCCTTGATGTGTAGGAAGAAACTGAGAAAGTTTTGAACACATCCAACATATCAAAATCATGCCAAAACTCAATTTCATTTTTGACATTTCTCCTGGTTTCGTTTTGAATACTTATGAAGAATGTGTGCCTGAAATTTGGACGTGTTACCTTTTTTTCTTCTTTGGGTTATAAAATGCTCTAAAGAAAATAAATAAACATAGCAAGTCAATAAAATTTGTATGTTTATCGAGTGGAAAATTGATACTGAAAGCATTCGCATGTTTGATGATAAATTGAGCAACGTAAAATCGATGAGACGAAATTGATTTTACGCTCCTCGTTCTCATTGTGCAACGATCTATGACATAATAATGATGGTTTCTCATTGCTTTTAACGTTTAAACTTTAATTGCAGAGCCCAAAATTTGCTCCCCCAATTGAGTTTGTTGATCAAGCTACGTTGAGTCCGCCTGAGGGTTACAAAGACGGTGGACTACTTGACAGTGCTCTCAGTGGAGCTTTGGGGAATCATGTATTCGGAGCTCAACATATTCAACAATTGCAAGTCATTCAGAGACTTCAGCAACAAAGGGCTGCGATGCTTGCAGCCCGCGCAGCTGCTGCCAATGCTTCTAATCAACAACAGCCATCAAGCAATGCCGTCGAACCACAAGCTGTTTGTACTGAATGCGCAGAATGTGCCGAATGCGCTGCTGCCAAACTCGCTGAACTAGAAGGAGGTGAGTTTATGACTGATTTCAGTAATTAATTACAAAATAATCAAATTATCGTTTACAACGTAAAATTTTCTCTCATGGCTGTTAAAACTTTTTCATGAAATTTTCTTCTCGTTAAACAAACACATGGGAAAAAGGAAAATTTTCTTGTCTCAAAATTGATGAACTCATCGATATTGTCAGACTTTTACATTTTTTTTGTTGTTGTCTTTTATTACGACAGAACCATAAATCGTACAAACATAAACATAAATTTCCTCGATAACTTTAACTTTATTCATGGCCATTTATAAGGCAATGGATGATCATAGGAAATATTTTTTCCATCATTTTTCGACTGGTTTTATTTGAAAAGTAATCAAAATTAAAGGAAATCATTCAATTAGGAAGAAATGACTGAATTGCAGATTAAGGGGAGCTGAAATTTTGCATTTTTCTTCCTTGATTGTTTGCTTTTCTGATGGAAATTTCATCTCGATTGCGCGTCTCCTACAATGACTGCCTCAGCTTTAAATTTATGAACTCACATTGAACAAATAAGAAATTAAATTAATTAATTTCTTTATCAATTAATTCGATTTTCTGAACTTGAAATTGAATCAACACTTGAGAGTAAATTGAATTTTCTCAAGATAACATTCGACTTGGTGAAACTTTCTTATTTTCTTTTTCAATAACATGTGATGAAGTTGTTCCTAGTTTATTCCTAGAATAGAGTAGAACTTTGGTTACATGAATTTTTGATGAATGAATTCTTATTCAATGGATTGAATATGAAATTAGAAGGAGAGATAGAAATTTTGGGGAAAACAGAAACATAAAAAGGGGATAGCTGATTAAACGTTTGGTCAAATGGAAGAAAATTATGCCTTTGTTGGATATGGAAAGAAATTGGATAACATAACGAGACGAAAATAATTCCTAATGGCACTAGACGGTGTGGTGTTTGAGGTCGATTTCTTTCTTATCACGAACATCCAATAATATGATAAATTTTTATTATCTAGAGTTAATATTAACAGAGAAGAGTTTTCCCATTTATGTGGTAATTTGTTGGCAAAGTCACTGATGAATGATGACAAGTGTGACGTGATAGAAAAAATCTTCACTTCGACCTTGGCCTGTACGAAGAAATTTCATGTTTTCCGTTCACATCAATGTTAACAACGTTCGCATGCAATGTCTTGACAAGTTTTTACTTTTTTTTATGAAAGGCATTTAAAATTAAATTATGCTAAATCATTTCATGTTCAAAACAGAAGGGAACAAATTTGTTCAAGTTTTTATAGGATGTTGGATTAGGAGAAAGGAAATTAATGTTTTGTTATTAAGTTAAAAAATAAGCATTCTGTTTCTGATAAGTTTCAAAAGTTAGTTGCCTGAAAATCTTTTCCTATGTGACTTCAAACTTTAAAGTTTTCCTGTAAGAAACATCTTATCAAGTTTTGCAACTTTAATTATTGAAAATGACTTTAAATCAAGTTTTAGCTTTAAAATAGTATTGAGTTCATCTTTGGGTAATTTGAATTTATTTTGAATGAGTCACTTGAATAGCTTTGTGAGTATTTCTCATGAATTTCCTTAGCCATTCTCAATGATTAATTGTATCATTTTATTATTCATATTTCATCAATAGAGCATTTAATGTTATACTAAACAAACACCTGCTAAAAATTTCATCATTGCCTTTTTGATTAGCATTGGGATTTGCACAAATCCTAGTTGATGAATCATTACTCATGGTCATTTATCATGATGACTTCGTTTAGCATGAATGCAAATTGCATTTCTTCCATTTCAATTTCATTCAGTTAGTCGACTAATGCACAAACAAAGTTTTTACAAACTCACTTCTTTCCCCCTTCGCTTCTTCATGCGCTGACAAAGCGAACAAAAGGAATTCGAAAAAATAGAGAGAAAAATACCCACGATGCCAACGAAGCGTGACTCCGGTTCACATATCAGAGCAGTTTGAAGTCCATGGGTAAAGCCAAAGCGAGAGCGACTGTTGACGATTTGCGGTATCATCGTTTAAAATGAGAAATTATGAAATTGAATTCCGGTCTGCTTCAACTTTTATTTACATTCCTCTACATCCCAAAATATATTTAGAGAACCATACAGAAATTAGCTTCCGAGATTCTCGACACGCTGATTAATCGAAAATTGTCGTCGGTGAAAATCGGAAGTTACTTTTTTTTAATGTCTACTCGGTCGTTGCCTCAACAAATCTAATTTTTTTATTTCTCATCCACTCATTAAACGCTAACATTAAAATGAATTTTAATTAGCCTAAATGTGAATGTGAAATTGTATCACGTTGCCTTTTGGTTAAATAATTTAAATCGACATGGAATTGAACGTGTTTTAGGCTAACCGAGTGTGATACTGTGAAAAAGGATTCGACCATGAACTGTTCTCAACTCTTTTAATTCTCAGTGACATTGTGGAGTTTAAAATCTCAAAAAACATTCGTGTTTGAAGCAAAAAAAAAGTTGTAAACAATTTTCAGAGTGTTTATAAGTGATAAGCAATTTCCGTTTCGGGTCACTTGCCATTTTTGTGGAATTTGTGGACAACTTCATATTATTGTTGAATGGGAAAAGCTTTCGTGTTTCATCGATATGCCACTGAATGCATAATTGGTGATCATAACATGTCAAATGGTATTCAAATGATTTTTATACTGAAATATTTTAATCAAAATGTGATGAATAGAGTTGCTTGTTAAATGTTGTCATTGCAGTAAGAATGATTTTATTGATAGGTCGTGGTTTATTTAGTTTAATGTCCATAATAGAATTAACAGTTGTGCTGGAAGATTGATGATTTGGGTTACATGAACTGTACATAGATCCAATTAGCTGATGGAAATCTTTCGTAATTTATTTTAATGCTGTTTTAATCTGTTGATTGTCTTCCCTCTTTTTTTTTGTTATTTATGTTTACTTATATTGTCGTTTGCTCAACTCTTCACTTAATTTCGTTTTGTATACGCAGGTTTATAACATTTTGTATGAGAGACAAACTTTGAGACTTTACTTCCATCTAAGACATGTTTTCAAAAGTTTCTTAAGTCACACGGAAATAATTTAAATCTTATTAAATTATTTAAGAAAAGAAAAAGCATGAAAGCATCTCAATGAAGCTCAAGGTTATTTATTAAGTTTTCCCAGTCGGTGATCATCTTTAATAACAATCAAAGAAAGATTTACTCGACACTTATTCGGCCTCAATAACAACAATAAATTCGGATGCTCAACATCATTAACGACTGTTTTATATTTGTTTGTAAGACTGGTGAGCTCAGTAAAATGGAAATTTATGTTTTCGCAAAACATTTGCTTTCAAATGTTTCTCGAATGATAATTAATTTCCACTGACGTCGAACATATTTGAGAATAAAAAAGAATTTTCTTCTGTCATTGACACAAGAATGAGAATAAGCAAAACATAAAAGAAAAGGGAAAATGAATTAAGTTTGTCGTCTTCATTTCGATGACGAGGGTAAAAATCTTCATCATATAAATTAAATTATCATAACTTTACAGTTACGTAATTACACATTTCTGACTTCTCTTTTCTGGATTAGTTGGATAGTCTCATTTCTAATAATTGTTTTGCTCAGCTTGCTGTTGAACTCTCAGGAAGAAGAGAAGATGAAGTAAGCAAGTGAATTACATCAAAATAATAAATAACTAAATTCTATGGTGAGAAAAGATTTCATGGGAATCTCAATTTGCAAGGAGGGGAGCTGAGATCTGACACGACAGTGTAGAAGATGTTTTAATAATAACATGGAGGAAAATGATTATAACAATTTTTATTTTTTGTACATTCACAACACTTCGGGTGTTGTCGTTGACGGTTTTTATCTTTTTTCTTCTTCAATGGCAGCCAAAGACAAAGAAAGCAAAAAAATCTTTTGATCTTACTTTTCGTCCTTCTGAAAACTTCAAAGCCTTCATTGAAATAAAATTTTCAGAGTGAAAATCCTACCAAAGTTCTTTCATAATTTTCATTTGAATAAAATAATTTCAATTAGGTAGTTTTACTTTAATTAAAATTTCAGTATTATCTTAACATTCAAATCAAAGACTGAAAGTAAATTGAAATTCAAAAGAAATTTCCTAACCCTGCAGTGAAATTAAAGTCATGTTATGTGACTCTGGCATTCGCTCTTTAATATTACAACCATCTATCCATTGTGTTTAAAATAACAAGAGAAAATTTTCATAGCAAAATATCTAAGAGTACAAATATGTGTTGTGCGTAATATGAAACGCTTTGTTGAGATCGAAAATTTTCCCAACACCCGTGACATTCAGGGGTGATTGAATGTTTTGTCGTGTATAAGAAAAGCGATGTTTGGTATGTCGTCAACGTTCTTTGATAAAAAAAATGTGAAAGGAGCTTCGAAGTGTAATGAAAAACGCCATTAAAATATTAAACCTTACACTTGTTCTCTAGTCGAGCAAGATACATCGTCGAGTTAAGTGAATTGCAACATCTTGCGACAACGCGTCATAAGCTAACGATAACGAAATATTCCATCAAGCGATAACGATTACAATATCAAGTATACTTAGTGATAATCTAGATGCATGTAAAGGGTTACTTTTCTTTTCCTTTCAAAAGATTTCGGTTAACTGCTCAAATCTCAAAGGAAATTCAATTTCGTGCACAAATGTTTCCAATAATTCCTTCCCGACTTCATTTTGCTAAAGGCTTATCTTTTGAGTCTTGGATGTTTATTTACTCGCTGAATGCTTGATAACGTTCTCAACCTTTGGGAGAAATTTTTAGGAGTTTATCTCGAAGCTTTTGTACAACTTAAGACAAATTTTCTTTCAAGTAATAATCTTTTATCAATAAATAATGTTTGCAATGTCCTGAGATCTGATTCTAAATTCCGCGTAGGAATAAAAACAAATTTATTATTCCTAACCATTTATTTTTCTCCCTTAAGCTATGCTTTCGAAATCATATTTCATATTCCATTAAACTCCATTTTTACATCTCATAAGACAGTGACGTCTGAAATATTTTTTATCATTCACAACCATCGTGATTAATATTTAAGATTTCATTCAAGAACTTCACTGCGTAAAAGAATTGTTCATATTTATGTCTTTTTCATTTGTTTCTGAATCTTTAAAAGTAAACCGATTAGAAATGTCAACGTTCTTTCAAAAATATGCCAAGTTAATGATGTGCTTTTATATTTTCATAAAATAAGAGATTTAAAATAGAATTAAATGAAAAAACAGCGCAAAAGCAGAGGAAAACTTCAACTTGAGATTAAAAAATGTTTAAATTAAGTTAAATTTCCATCCGTTATTCATAAAGTTTAAAGTGCCCATCTCTGTTCTAACAACATCACACGCTTCTTAATAAATAATTTCTCGAGTTGTTGTTTACTCGTAAATTAAATTTTCGTTTCTCAATGCTTGCAAAATTTATCCCCTCGTGAAATCGACATTTGGGTTGTTGTTTTTTTTTCAAAGCATACAAAAAGAATAAACAAGTAAATAACAACAACACAAGCAATGTTACAATGGACTGGTAGGGACCGACCTTACGCAATTCGGTTCTTCTAAATGTGTTTCTTCTTCTTCCTCTTTCTTCTTCTATTCTTCTTCTTCTCTTCTCAATTTATTGTCGTATTTGAAACATGTTTTATGACAAAAGAGAAGAATTTATGTGTTGTATGGTTCGAAAAGTAAACAGCAGCAAGTCTAGGCTAGAAGGAAAATGAAGGAAAAAAACTTTTTTTTTGGTTTAAGGGGTTGGGTTGTGAGTTCGATTCGGCATTTTGACTCGTCTTTCAAATATTCTTATTCCATCACAATACAAAACCAGATTTTTATGATACGATTTTATATTTTTGCTTATTTCATTCTCATCGAAAGAATTCGGTCCATCGAGAATGATTCTTGATTAAATTATATTGAGAAAAGTGTAATCTGTGCAAAAGGTTCAATCATCATTTCATTGCTATAGGCTTAGAACTGATTCGAAAATGTTCTTGTTCGTCCCAAATGTATAGAAATTTCTCACGAGGTCTCTCTCGTTTCTAATAAAAAAGTCCTTCAGTAGACAATGCTACTCTTTAATAAGCTCATAATAGGTTTTCTCTGCCTTTTTCTCCATCATTCTTCTGTTTGACCCTTCTGATCTGCCTAATTACATGAGCTTGATGAATGATTATGGAGATCAAGACAAACCCCAAAAAAAGAAGAAAGTTTTCATGTCCTTTCTCTCATTCATTTTCCTTTTCGACCAAAACAGTTTATTTCAATTTTCCTTTCGTTTATTAGGAAAAACTGAAAAAGATAAATTCCCATGAAAAGTTTATTGAATAACAAACAATAATTTTTCTTTCTTTTTTAATTTCATTAGAATGCGACTCGCAATGTTCAGAAGAACCGTCACCATTGGAAGTTGTGCCACCTCATGTCCTAGCTATCGGTTCACTGGTTCCTGTACAAAAGTCATCACCAGAGAAACGAAATCAGAAAGAAATCGTTGCAGGAGAAGAACGCCCTAAATTTCTCACCATTAAACCGACTGAAGATGCTCAAGGTAAGACAACATTTGTGCTTATCATTTATCAGTGTTGAAGTTATTCACAGCTCTCAAAACACGCTTGAAGAATTTTCAGAGTTCATTGCTAATGCAGAAATATGTATAATGAAAAATGTACATAATTCAGATAACTTTTCTGCTACTTAAGCATCCATTGCGTGCTTTTTTTTTGGTTTACTTTTATGTGCTTATCTTCCTTGTAATCTTCTAAATCATGTCGGCATATACACTTAGTTTACAATTCATAAAATCATGGCACATACATGAACACAATCATAGAGAGAAATCTTGTCTCCCTGACAAATATCATAAATTCATCTTGCGTATCTCGTGTTTTAAATTTAAATTTGAACATCCTCAACATTTTCTAAATTATAGAGAAGAATTAAGATGTAAATTATCGACCTTTGCAAATTAAAATGTTGAAATATCTGAAACAGAATTTACAAAATATTTAACATTAAAAGATATTTGATGGAAATTTTGTTTTTAAGTGTCTGTAATAATTTAAATATTTAAGAAATTTGGAGCATCTTGAACCTTTTTATACAACACTTACATGGAGTTTGTTGAGCTTTTAAGGTAGAATCAAAATTTTTTCGAAAGGTCGAGAAAGCTTCGAAGAGATTTGAAATGAAAAATAAATATTTTGATTGTGCAAATAAATAAATTAAGTACGTAGAATGTTCAAGCATAATGTTTAGAGCATTAATTTATGTTGATTCATTGCAATCAAATCTGTTTGCTTTATTCAAAATTTCTCTGATTCAAATTTACTTTTCCCACCTACACCACCTACGCAATGTTCAAAGCATTCCATTTTATCATTCAAAATCTTGTTCCTCTTAATGTTGACTCATTTGTGGTTGAAGCTTTCTTCTTTTTACTCATATTTAAATTTATTAATTACGAAATTGGATTTAAAAGGTCTTTAAATCAACCTTTTCCTTTCCAAAAATTTCAAGGACTTCGACAAACTTTTGGAAAATTGTCGAAGGTCGGTGGGAGAAAAAGGATTAAAATTATCGTTCATCCCCAAAACGCTCGACTCAGTAAATCTAACTTAAATTAAAAAGTCATTCACATTTTTTCTCACGTCTCCCTCTTGTGCTTCTTCAATCGGTATTTGGATTTATTTTAGGCTGAAATTGTTGGTAATTTCTTCATAAACAGAGCATGCTTCAAATCAATATCACATAAAGATTCCTTTCTATTTTTGTTCCCACTTCGTTACATTAAATTGACTACTAAACAGACCCAGAAATGCAAAAGGAATATTCAAGAGATGCTATGGAAACACCCTCAAGACCAATAACTTCTAAATGTCTTCGGTCTTTCCGTATGTTATACCAAAATTTTCAATCATATTCATGTGTGGGAGTAAATACTTTAAAAGATTTCCATTTTCTTCTTCTTGCGAAGCAAATTGAAAGCGGGTAGAAATTTATTTATTCATGAAAAAACTGAATGAAACAGAAAAGCGTGATGAAAACTTTTGCATAACTGGGTTGGACACAAATAAAGTAAGAAAAGTTTCTTTTTCTCTTTCTTCTTCCAAAGCAGCCTCCAACTTTATTTTTGTACACTTTTAATCACTTGGACTGGAAAATAAATATTTTCCTTAGAATTTGTTGGGATTTGCTTGAAAGTTACGTCACGTAACTAAATGAAAATTTAAATTTAATGAAAGAAAATTAAAAATAAACTTCACAAAGTCTTGAAAGTTTTTGTGTAAACAAAAAAAATCGATTTCCTTCCTATTACGTGACGAAACTTTTAAATACAATCGCTTTTCCCAACCTTTCATGATAAGATGAAAGATTTTAATTAATTTGCATGTTTATTTTCTCTTTTTTTCCGCGAACAAAATTTCTCGTCCTTATTTTTGTTAAAATAAAAACAAATATCGAAAAATAACAAAAATGTTCTTTGACGTTTGCGATGTGTTCGTCAAATGTATGTCTCGTGTATCATGTAAATGTGTTGTTGCTATCATGTTGTTGTTTGAACGTCAATCTTTTAACGAATAACTGCCACGCATCTCATCATGTTGCTGGTGTGATTAGCGGAAGTGAATAAAACCGAAAGTATGAAACCTGAAAATCAAGCTTCTTATGTTGTTGAAACTATAACTATGACTACTGTAACTGAACATCGTATAATTCGAACAGTTGAAGATGCCAATGTGGAATTGCCGCCTCCAAAGCCACCAAAAGCAGCGACTTTACAGCCACCTGCACTTCCCGAAGGACGAAGCATTTACGCAAGCTCACAATCCGTCGAAAACATGAAAAATGATTTAAACGCAACAGTTATTCCTAAATTTAATGTTAATGGAACTGCTCATGCCATAACGGGAATATTGAAAGGTGGAAAGTTGCGAAAGACTGATACGGTTCAGGTAAATAAACAAAAATGTTCAAATGTTCAAATAAAATAAAAAATAATTTCCTGTTCGGATAGAACGACGAAATGAACAACACAACATCGGATGAAGAAACAAGTTCAAAGCGATCAGTTCGTTTCAATGAAGACAGTGGAATTGGCGAGAGTCAAACTGAGACGACTGTCACTGATGACGAAGGAAAACCTAAAGAAAATCAACTTACTGATTATGTCACTCACATGTCTTTGAAACGACACTCAAGTTTGTTCCACAACGCTTTAAGACGTAAGTTAATTTCGCAAAGTTTTCCTTTGTTAAAAAGAATTTCTTTGACCGTTTCTTTTTTTCTATTGAAACAGCAAACTCAGCAGTCCGCCAACTGTTTCCTGCCAAATCACCGACATCGGCTTTAACACATGAAGCTTTAAAAGCATTTGATGAATCAAAACGCGGTGGAAATTTACTGACAGCTTCACAAACAATCACATCCGGCGGATCCGCAAGCTCAACAAGCACAAGTCCCACGCCAATAACTCATAGTGCATCCGATACGGATACAATCAAACGAACCATCGAAAGAAATGCTTTAAGACGTTCATTGATTAAATATGAGCCAAAGTAAGATAAGAGAAAATGTCGAACTAATTGCGAGAGAAATTCTGAAATCCTTTCCAGATCATCATCATTAATTTAATTAATTTCTTTTCTTCCTTTCATAATTTCTTTAATAAACAGGAAAAAGATAGCAGCGAAAGATTCAACATCGCTCGAAGAACGTATTAGACTATTAACTTGTGACATTGATGAACCCGGTGATAGTGACGGAAATAGTTCTTTGAATGCGAATGACATGGAGCGTCGTGATAGCCCTGCAGGGGAAGAAAATCCCCAACAAACGAAATTCGATAAAAGTTTCTCGCCATCGTCGTCTGCTTCAAGTTCTTCGAGTTGCTCGGCAGGTTCTACATATAAGAAGATAACTGACTTGTTCAACAAAGAAAAGCGACAAGAAAAGATTCTTGAAACGGATGAAAATCCTATTGTTATCATTCCTCAAGATTGTCGCTGTCCAGCTGGGCCCGACATTGGGATGGGTGTTCAGATTCAAGGTGCTCACACACAAATTCATCAACCTCCACCACCTCCACGCCAAACTGAATCAAAACGACATATTTTATCGACAACTTTAGCGCCATTAACGGCATGCGTTGCTGGTCAACGTGATGACTTTTCGTATTACATGCTGGCGAAGCCTGGCGATCGCACTTCAACTGCGAGTTCACAAACAACTGATCAATATAGTATAGGAGACATTGATGCTGCACTGCAAGATGCTGACACAAAGAAAGTTGCACCAGATGTGATTGCTGGAACACCTGGTCAAGAGTCTGATGAACTTGCGTCGTTTGCTCAACAAGAAGCTAATCGATTGGATAGAATAAAGAAACGTTACAGTTCAGAATCAGCTCCAGCATCTGGTGTCAATTCTGACGATGATGAACAGAATGATTATGGATTTAATAAACGTCCATCAGTTCGTGGCATCAAACCACGTTTCGGCTCAACAAATGAGATTTTACAACAAATGCAAGATCAATTGTCACAGCCAACGCCTACTGTAAGATTTCTTTTCAATTATTTTAATGCATTTTCAAGTTCTTTTTCATGCTTTCTTTAATTGAATTATTTCATTTATTTTTCTGTAGGTTTCAACGACATCAAGTCAACAACAACCGACATCAAGTCAAATGCAGTCAAATACACTTCCAAGAACGAATGCTTCCGGTGCTTTGCAAATAGCCCCTGCAAAGCAGCAACATCAAGCACATCATCAACATACAGCATCATGGAGTTATTATCCAGATCAAGGGAAAAAAGGTAGCGGTGAAAATTATGGAAATTATTATCACTTGCCAGCACATGCACGTCATAGTTATCATGGTCACGAAGCAATTTATCAGAATTGTCATACGATGACAGTTCAACAGACTCAAGCGATAATTCCTGGTCATGTTCATCAGAAACTTTCACAACAAACATCACAGCCACAGATTCAAGCGATTCAACACGCTCAGCAAATAAATCGATTAAGTCAATATGCGAGAAGTCCAACAAGACGACCAGAGTCGCCACCACCGTTAAGAAATTATCATCAGACAATGGTGTTGATTCCTTACAAGCCTGACGGAACTGGATTTCCAGCCTATGGAATTGCCGGTGAGACGAGTGAGAATATTTACCAAAGACAACACAACATTGTTGAATATCAGCAGGTAAATGATGTCAAATCGATGGATTTCAATCCAGATTTAACATTTTTTGATGCGTTGCAGGTGACGCAACAAACGATTAGAGTTCCAATTGGTTATCCCTTACCGGGGATGCAGCTTCATGTTGTTTCGGGGGGTAATCGAACAGCACCAGCTACGCCACATTATGCGACCTTGCCACGACAAAACTCAGCTCAAGGTTCACAGAAGTTTTCTTATCCAGACAAACCAACGATGGAACGAGGCGTGCCAGAGGGAGAAGCAGCTGCAGCTCAACAAACCGACAACATCCCTTCAGAAACGTGTCAAGAAATAGAAACTAACAATAATAATAATAATAGTAATAATCAGACAGTGCCAGGAACTGTTTATTATGCAATGAATGTCTGACAAAGTCAGTAAGACTGCACAGACTTTCGTGCAGTTTTTGTAATGTAAAGTTTTGAAAGAGTTTCGACATTATGTGATGTGAGATTCTTAATGTGAGAAAGTATTGAAGACTTTTCACGACATTTTGTTAGCATAAGAAGAAAATCTTAATGCTGAATATTTATAAAACTCGCTTCATACACACTACATTGTCACTGAAACTTTGTAATAACAACTGAATCGAATTTATCGAATCATTTCAAGGATTAACGACGGGAAATGTTTTCAGAAACCTTAGAAAAGCATGTCAATGTGTTTATTTGATTGAAATGTCTTAAAATGATTCTGTAAGGAAATGTTTGTAAAAAAATGTTATAAAAATATTCTTTTTTTATTAATGAAAAGAAACGACGCGATGCTCAATAACTAAAGAAAAGAAAAAGAGATCAAAGATATAAAATGAAGATGTTGGTGACTTACGACTTGCATGTTTTATGCTTTATTGAAGCTTCAAAGAAGAAACATCTCATGCTTAAAATTAAGTTGCTTTGAATAAAGAAGAGAATCATTGTGAAGTTTCGTTACTTATGAACGGCACCTCAAATATAAAAAGTTAAATTGAGAAATCCCAAACGAATCCTTGAAAGTTAAACCAAAATAATCAGTAACAGTTCACAAATCGCATGTAATCTTGTTAGATATTTAAGTGTTATGCGCAAGCATATTTAATTGAACACCAGAAAAACATTAAAAAGTTTCTGTTAACTTTTAAATTACTTGCGTTGATCGACATTGTCACTGAGTGACTAACAAAGTTTTAATTTTAATGTGCCTAGAATAGAAAATTTTCCTTTGTGAAATTGTTTTTCTTAACATTCATTGGCTTCATCACGTCACATCCTGACAAAGGCAACAAAAAATGTTCATTAACCAACGTTTCGCACAAACCTTTATACCTAATTTCTCTCTTTAATTACGAACTTATTTGTATTTATAAAAATCGAAGAAAAAATTATGATGAATGAATAGAAGATAAAGTTTAATTAAAATTGAAAAAGAAATATTTTAATGAAGTAATTAGGATCATTTTCTTTTCTTAAACGATATTTAGAATAAATAAATGGAAAATAAAGAGTAAAACTTTTTGATTTAACTTTTTGTTTTGAAATTCTTGGAAATAAAATAATGAAAATCTGATAGGAAAGAAAATTTTGCTTCAGGATATTTAAGGAAAAGTCAGAATTCTCTAAGTTAAGCGAACAGAATCTTCCAAAACAAAGATATGTCAGAAAAATTTAACTCACGTAATGTATATGAAAAGTCTAAAGACAAGAATAGTGTTTATGATTAAAATATATAAAAATTAACAAAGAAAACATTTTTGAAAAAAGAATCGTTTAAAAATATTAGAAGAGAAAATTATAAAATCAATTTATGCAAGAAGGAAATTAATAAAAATTTGAAAATATATAACTTCTGAGTTTCCATTTTTTAAGATAATTCATTATTTGGAATAAAAGTTTGAAGCATCATGAACGACCAAGTTGCGCCATCTTTTGTGCTAAACTAAAAGCTGTTTTTAAATAATTTCCTCTGAACTGTTATTCACTTCTTACTCAAATTTATCAAATTATCATTATCAGTACAGAGTTAAGTTTCAGATAAATAATTTTTCTTTGCTGATGCGATTGAGTTGGTATAAAAAAATATAATTAGTAGATTTATTTAAAATTAAAACGTTATTTGCCAATTACAAAACTTATTTAATTTTTCTTTTTCCTCTAGTGTACAGGAAAATCATAATTTATAGAAAGAAAAGAGTTCCATTATCAGGAAGGAAATTTTGATATGACTTCTTTCCTTACGTAAATAAAGGAAATGAGAACCAAATCAACAATCGTTATAGAAACTTACAGCAAAGCCAAGGAGATAAAAATAGTTTTTAATTAACATACCATTGAATCGCAAATTGAAACTGATTGAAGATCAGACAATATACTGCTAAATATAACGATGAAACTGTAACTTACAATATGCTTTTAGAAGAAATATTTTGTTTTCGTACGTGTGTAACAATGAAGTAAACAACAAGTTCTGAGAATAATATGTAATGTTACTGAAACATAATATCATACAAAAATATGCTACTTAACAACATGAAAACATCATCCAAACAAATTTTTTCCCGACAGTCAACAAATTGAAATAAAGATAAATTAATAAAATTATTGTTTGTCTGAATTGACTTATAATGTTTGAAGTCGGAACATTTTAAATTGAAAAAGTGTCAACGCAAACTGATTTATTCAATAAGGTGAGATCATGTGAAATCTCAAAGCTTTTCGTCACAACTTATATTGTATGAATGCTACTTGGAACTTATGAGTGTTATCAAGATTAATGAAGTCTATGAAGACAAATAATACAAAAAGATATGCAGTCAAATTATGTTATCACGCGATATCTCTCAATTCATAAGATCAAAACTCTCAGTTTCTCGTTAATATTTGCGTTGATAAGTTGCCTCAGGTAATCATTTCATTCTTCAAATCCTCTACTTACATGGAAAATTAAGAAAACTTGACTGAGATTATTAATAAAATTGTGAAAATTCGAAGATCAAAAAATTATTTTCAAATTATCCGAGGATAATTTCCATTGAATAAATTCAAAACTTTTAACATTGTTTCTGTAATATTTAATTTAAGCTCTAGTCTCATTTATCAATGCAATAAAAATGCAATAAAAATTTAATCTCTTCTTGAATGATTTATGTGAGAAATTTCTTTCGTATTCTTAAAGTAAGATGAGTGGAAAGGAAGATAAAAATGGAAAACTTGTTAAAAGCGAAGAAACTGAGCTTCAAAATCTTAACTGTGATAAAAACGCAAAAATTGTTCAGAAAGACCAATGGAGCAGCGATATTGAATTTCTTTTGTCATGCATCACGTTATCAGTAGGATTGGGTAATGTTTGGAGGTAATTAAACTCTATAAATCTTCCCTTGTGTATTAATTTTTGTTTTTGTCGAGAAGATTTCCATTCACAGCACTCGAGAATGGCGGTGGAACTTTTGTCATTCCATATACATTAATTGTCTTGCTGGTCGGTCGTCCACTCTACTATATGGAACTTCTTCTGGGACAATTTTCATCCAAAGGATGCATTAAAGTGTGGGATATGTCACCAGCTGTCAGAGGTGTGGGTGTTGGTCAATGTATTTGCACTATCGTTGTGCTTTCTGTATATGCTTCAGTCATGGCATTGACAATTCGTTTTTTTCTTGCTTCATTTAATGATCCATTACCATGGAGTATGTGTAAAGATGATTGGAACACAACATGCATCGATAGTAATTACAAAAATCGAAATATAACAATAGAAACCCCAAAATCATCAGCAGAATTATTTTTTGTGTAAATAATTTAAGATTCAATAAATTTTCTTAGATTAAAGTGCGAAATATTTTCAGAAAAGATATTTTGAAGGAAGCTGAGTCGATTGACAATGGAATTGGATTTCCTGATGTAACTCTTACTTTATGTCTTATCGCTGCTTGGACAATCATTGGCTTAGTGTTGGTGAAAGGAATCAAAAGCTCAGGAAAAGTTGCATATTTTCTCGCAGTCTTTCCTTATACAGTTTTGATTATTCTTCTTGTAAGAGCAACGACACTCGATGGAGCAATTGATGGAATAATTTATTTTATTGTCCCGGATTGGGAGAAAATGTTTGAAGCTAAGCTTTGGTATGCTGCTGTCACTCAAGTTTTCTATGCCCTTGGAGTTTGTTTTGGATCAATCATAATGTATTCTTCTTACAATCGATTTGATCATAATGTCTACAGGTAAATATGATTAATAACATCGAAATGAATGTGTTAAATAATTAATTTAATTTTCTAGAGATTTTAACATAATCACAACAATGGATTACATGACTTCGTTACTGGCTGGTTTTATAATTTTTGGAATTCTTGGTCATTTGTCTCATGTCATGAATGTGGACATCAGAGATGTGACCAAAAGTTATATGGGGCTTGCTTTCATTGCTTATCCTGAAGCAATAGCGAAGTTTGATTTTATTCCGCAATTCTTTTCGATCGTTTTCTTTCTCATGTTGTTCTTTTTTTGCGTTGGGAGTAACATGGGAATGGCTTCATGCATTATGACTGTCATCAGAGACCGCTATCCAAAAGTTAAATGCTGGAAAATTGTTATCGGAATTGTTTGTTTTGGTGTGTCGACTGGTTGCTTTTATACTTCTCCAGGAGGTCAATTTCTAGTGAACCTTTTTGATTTTTATGGTGCATCGTTTGTAGCACTTGTTCTAGCAACAATAGAGTTGATTACGGTCAGTTGGATTTATGGTGTCGACCGATTCTGCAAAGATATTGAATTTATGTTGCGACGTCAAACTGGAATCTATTGGCGATTGTGTTGGAAGTTTGTTACTCCCACTATTATGATAGGAATTTTTTGTTATTTTATATTCACATGGGAGCTTTTAACTTATCAAGACCGTGAATATTCATTTAACATGCATGCTCTGGGTTGGTGTGTGTCACTAATTGCATTACTTCAGCTTCCTATTTGGGCAGTTTACGCTATGATGAAGCAACCAAAGAGAAAAGGAATAAATGTGAGTGATATGAAGTAGATAAATTAACAACAATTATTTCTCTTCTTTCAGAGATTCCTCAAAGCTTTCCAACCAAACGATAATTGGGGGACAGTTAGTAGTGACAACAGTAAATATTAAACTGAAACATATCAAAATAATTTCAAACAAACCATTTCTCTCTTTTATAGGAAAAGCCTACGAATGTTCTATGTATGAAGCTTAATTAATGTTCACAAGTTGTGAAAAATCATTGAGAAAATATGAAGAAGAATAAATATTTGAGTTGTCAAAGTTACGAAGCAATATTTTATTCTTTCCACTGAGAGGTTTAAATATTTATGAAAACTTTTACAAAAGTTATATGTCAACATTCATAAAGATCATAAATTAATTTGATCCAACAAGGTCTATTAGTAAGCTGATATCCTTTTGAAATATGAAAGTAAATTAAAGCAAAGAGGATGGAAGAAAAATTATCCAAAGCTTCAACTGAAAATAAAATAATTAAAAAACTGAATTTACTTTCCATGATCATTTTATTAAATATATCTTTTTGATCCATAACATAATACATACAAGTATAGAATATTTTTTTATTTCACTTCTTCAATCTTTCTTCTTCACGCCAATCTTTCATGTAAAAATCTTCAATTTCTTTTTTTTAACACATGAATTGAATTTATGCTAAGAATGAAAATACTTTTCATCAAATTTTCTTTGAAAAACACTGAATTTCTTAGATAAAGGTTACAAATATTTCTTGATATCGAAAGTAATATGCGACACGTCTCAGATTTGTCACAACAAAGTTTCAGCCTTACCCGTTTCTCAATATAAAAATATCTGAATTCAATTCATCAACAATTATCGTCTTTTCCATTTTCAACGTGTCGCATTTTAGTATCGCTATCTGAACTATAAAAATTAATTAACAACTTTGTGAAAAACTTCCTTAAAAGATCAAAAAAACAATGCATTAGCTAAAATAATTCAACAAATTATAAAACTCTTTTGTTGGTCTGAAAAATAAGTGAATTTTCCAACTGGCTAAATACATATCTATAAATCACATTTAGATTGGAATGCCAGGAAATTGAAATTATTTAATTTATTAAGTAGATGAAATATTAATTTCCATTCATATTGTTGACCAGATAGAATTTCTCGTACGATTTTTTTTCAAATGTGTTTGGATAAGAAAGAAAAACAAAATTCAAACATTGAACAAACATTTCCGAATGATTCTTTTTTTATCATTTTTGATTATTTAGATAATTAATGTTTGTACCAAAAAGAAGAATTTCTGATAATTTTTTTGCAACATTTAACTGGAGTTATTTTGTTTTAATTACATGCTTTGTAGTTTTTCTTACTTGACCAGGTATCTTATGCTGCCTCTCGTATCATATATTTTTTAAAGTGCCTTATGTTATACTTCCTATTAGTTACTGAAAATATCCTTTCTACGTTATAAGGCTTTTCTTACAAATTTATTTGCAACGCTTTACTCTTTAATCATTAGAGATTCATAAGGAGAATTGTGTACTTCTATTCTTTGTCTTGCTTTCACTTTTCAATTTTCAATTTTCCTCAGAACCTAATCATCTATGCACAACATAAAATTTCCTTTATGAATTCTCTATTGATGAAAGTGCCTTAAGTTGCAAAGTGTATTCTCATTTTAATATCCGTTTTTGCGATACTGTATTCATTTTGCTAGGTAGTAATTGTATGAGTTTCAACATATCTTCCCTTTTTGTTTCTTGGTTAGTCATTCGTTGATAAAGGCACCATTCTTTTGTAACTTTTAATGTCAGTGGATCTGAAATATATATTTTTATCTATTCGCGGTTTCGCCTTTTTTCAGGGGAGGCGGAAAAGAACAGAAATCTTTTCCCGTTCATCACAATTTTATTTGTCCACGCTATGCTGATATTTCTATACGATTTCTATTTTGCCACATTATCGACGGTTTAGCCAATATTCTTCTTAATGATTGAGTTTTATATTTTATCTGATTTTGGGTAAAAGTTTTGAATGTTCCAATGTTTGGGGATAACATTAATTTAAATGAAATTCTTTTTTCCACTTAGCCGATTAAGTCAATGCAAATTTTTATGTAAATTTCTTTGAGTATTTTTAAGGTGAAAATTATTTTCTTTATCATTGAATTTTAATTTTTCCTAATTCTTCTTTGACTAATTATGATTGATTACATTAACTACTAAGTAAGTGAAAATGAGGTGCACTGGAATAATTTTTTTTTAAACAATTTTCTTTTATTCTTGTGTTTATCGGTGAGGTGTGTGGAATTGCATCATAAACTTCATTCCTTTGATCATTTTTACTACTCACAAAATTATTCATTTTATGTCCTATAGTCGCATCTTTCAATCTAATTCAATTCTATTACGTAAAAAATCCCTTAATTCCCATCATCAGTAAAAAAATACTTTTGTATCAACTATTTCTTAACTATTCATTTCATTTCTCTTTTTTTTTCTTGGAAAACTGTGAAAACTTTTTAATTATGATACAAGCTTGAAGAGGAGAAGAAGAAATTTCCTTTTTTATTTCGTCTATGATATTTGACTTGCCAGACATTTCAGACAATTACCCAACCGGTGTGAAATAAATACAAAAATAAATACTGTACACAAATAAGAAAATTGTCGCTCCTCTTTGCATATTTTTTATATTCTTATCAATTATCAATTATATTCCTTTTCAAATATACTTTTATTATATATTTATTCCTTCTAAATTATCACTAGGTCTCCCTTATACCGAAATTATGTTTTCTACCCTTAACAAACTTTTTCATCCACCACAATTCACGTTAATTAAATATATATTTATTTATTATATAAATCAATAACAAGGTTTAAATTATTCCTTACAAACATATCAATTGAAGCTTAAATGATTTTTCTTTTTCTTTCTTTTAAGATTCTACCTTAATATTCACTTTTCGATAAGAACTAAGAGAGATAAGCCTTCTGAAGACAGACTAAAACAGTAATTTTTAATTACTTTCAAAGTAAAGCTTCTTTCTCGTCAAGGAAATTATTTCATAAACAAATTAATGCTTTATTTAAAGCTTGGATAGAAAAAGCTAAGTAAGTAAATAAGGAACAAAGAATTCATAATTCCGAAATAGAGTTCCTATCATCATTCAACAACTTGGAAGCTTTTAAAGCTTTATCTTTAGACCATTACATCATTTCAATGTGCAACCGTTTCATAAGTGTCATAGCCTCAACAATTCATAGAAAATTCGCGGCAGTTGAAAGCAGCTAATCAGTATAATAACAAATAAAAGTTGGCCATTCATATCGTCACTTTTCTTTCACTTTCCCAGTTTATTTTGTTAAATAAAAAACGTAAAGTTTAAGTTTGGCAGTTATCACTGTTAAGAAACATTCGATTTTTTTTCTTGGTTGCAAAAATTACTACGACACGATGTCATGCCATTCAATTGTTTTCATTATTTCATTTTAATCACGACTTAAAATGGCTCTCCATTTTTTTTATTGTAAAACATTTTCGAACACACTTTTGTCACCTTTCTTTGAATTTTTCTATTTCCTCAAAAATTCCAATTTTGCATTATTTTGTGAGTAATTTTCCTTTCTTTTAATTATTCAGTAAAATTTGATTTTCATGGATTTATTTCTATGTTGAGATATTTAGTAAAATGCTGTGTACGTTTGCATTCCTGGATATTTTCTTTTGATTTAAATGAAATTGATCTGCATTTGAAACATTTTGATTTTCTTCTATTACTTTGCTTTGGACGGATTGATATAAAAAATATGTTTTTAAATTAGTGTCAGCTTTTATCTATTTGTCTTTTTTTATTAATTGTTTGCTGTTTTTCATTCTCTTCGGTTCTATTGGTTTGTTTTGTGTAACATGAATAAGACTTGATCGTTCTTCTTAATTCTTAAAATTACTGGGCAGTATGAACTCTCACAACAATTACACAAAATCTTTTGTTCCGTAACGTGTAATGAAACTTTTTTTGATATCAAAACATTTATGAGATTATTGGATTTCCATTTAATTAATTTCCTTTTATATCAATTTTTTTTGTACTCATTTGTAGTTTTATGTTCTATAATTTTTTTTTTGTTAAATTCTTCAGAAAAAGTGAAAATATTTATGTTATTACTTTTGACCAAAAACAAATTTTTCATTACGATTAGAGACAGAAAAAGAGAATCAGAATGTTTCTCACTCATCTTGAGTACATTTGAGCCAACATGGTTTTCTTTCAAATATTTTTGAAGTTTTTTGTATCGGAAAAATTCTTTCAAACATTCACACATTCACACATTTAAGATTTGAAAAACATTTTTTTTTTGTTAATTTGTTTCTTGAGGTAATTTGAAATTTTTTCTTCTTTGTTTCTTAAACTTTGAATATCATGTCATGCAAATATTAATTCCACAGATTTTCTTTTAAATTTGATTATTTTTGAAAAAGGAAACAAGAAGGAGATTCAATCATGTGCAAATATGCATAAATTTTGAATTATTATTTTTTTTCAATTTCATAATTTAAAGTTTTCCAACTTAACGCATCTCAATCTTCACATCTTCATCGTTTCAGTTCCTTTTCTGATCAAATTTTCTTATATTTAATGAAGGAATGATTTTGAAACTTTGTGTTTTGTATTTTATAAATCTCACTTTGGTCAATCACACATTTAAATACCCATAAATAGTTTTACGTCATCGTTGAGTTATGTTGCGAAAAAACAACTTTGAATTTAGCTAAAATCAATGAGATAACATAAATGAAAATCTCATTGATGACTTTTACTCAACAGATGCGAATTGAATTCATAGACATTTGAGCATGTCTCGGAACAAATGTTACACTTCCAAGGATTGGATTCACTATGACATCCTTTATGCAAGAAATAAAGCGTTTGATCAGGAAACTCAATGCCGCAATATGAACATAAAAGATTTCGCTTCTTGGAACTCGTACCGAAGACAATTGTCTCATTATCAGCACCCGTAGATGTAATCGTTCCATTTGATGTTGTTGGTGTAACTGGTTCAGGTGATACAATCATTGTATTTGAACTATTGCATATTCCTGAGTTATTCGTCGATGACGTCATCGATGATCCATAATTGTTGATGTTGCGAGCGACACGATTATTAGCTCGTGCTGTAATACGTCTTTTGAGATCTTCACGCAGCAGTGATTTTAATGGTGATACCTGGTTAAATAAAAATTTAAATAAAAGAGAAGAAGAAGTTGTGCAAACAATCGACCCAATATCATTGAGAGTAAGGGAAGCAACAGCAGACATAAAAAAATGAAAAGAAAGAGAAATAAAAGAGAGTTTAATTTTAGAAACTTTTGACCTAATTTAATGTTGGTGGTTGAGCGCCATACTCTGGCATGACCTACTTTAATCATCGATGCTAGACTTGAAGTGGGTGTAACACTTTCAGTTGAATTACTAACACCTGATGAGTTTTGGACTGATGATGATGATGCATTCGCTGTTGACGTTGATGTTGTTGTTGTCAGAGATGTTGGTTCGGTGAGCATTGGGGTTGATGTTAATGAACGTTGATTGTTACTTTTGCTATTGCTCAATGTACTATCGGACGAATAGTCATCATTTGTGGTTGGCTCCTATAACAAAAGTGAAGACGAATGAATAAATGAATAATGTTTCATTAGTGAAATGAATAATTTATTGGATTTCATGTTGGTTGTAGTCATAGACCGAACTTGCTTGAATGCCTTTTATTTTTGTTTGCTTTAATTGGCATCACGTTAATCATTATTTTATGTTTATTAAACTAGAATATTATGAAAAATTATTTAAAACCATACCAAAGTTCTTGATAAAAGAATAAAAAAGCAAGCAAGTTGCATCTATGAGGTAATAAAATTAATGAAAAGAGAAGGAGAAAAGTTATTGTTCCAATAATCACCTGTTTGATTGGTATTAGAGATATAGACGGTTTTATAGCATTGTCAAAGATTAAATGACGTGAACTTTGAGCTTCATTTGTCATAATTGACGATGAGTGTGAGCTCGATGGAACATTGGAATTTGAATCAGCTGATTGTGGTGAGACGGGGGAGCCTCCATTTGTATTTAGTGGACGAACAATCGCTTGAATATCCAAACCTGAAGAAGTTGTTGCGGTGACAGTGGTTGGATGTGTTGAGAGGTCATTGCTGTTTATTCCATTTATATTGTTCGCTGACATCCTAATTGGATTATTTTCATTATTGTCAGCCATTGATATTTCCACATGTGGTGTAAGAAAGTGCATTGGTGGTGTTGCATTGTCTGTTGAACGTGCTGAATCCCCACTATCACTGAATGCATTTGCACTGGCGTTTGCAGCTGCTGCTAATGCTGGCAAAAGATGTGCTGAATTTGATTGCTCCAAAGCGAGAAGAAGTGACGACGGTGTTCCCGATCCAGGATTATCCAAGTCAATTCCATGACGGTTAAAGAAATGAACTCTCAATGATTTCATTGTGCCAGCTCGGTAGCTACAAAGTGGACATGTCTTCACCAAATCATGTTGCCCAACGTGCTCGTTTTGGAAGTGAGCACGCATTGCAATCTGCCTTTGAAAGCCACGATTACATATTGGACAATGATATGGTAGCGTTTTTGTATGTGTTGTAAAATGTTCAGCTAAATGATCTTTACGAAAGAATCTCTTCTGACATACACGGCATTCGTAGGGCTTGACTCCCGTATGTCTTTGTTTATGCCTACGCATGTTGGCGCCATTGGAAAATTTCATCTAAAACAATAGTTAAAGATTAGGTGAAAGATTCAAATTTCATTTCATTGATTTAGGACGAAAAACAAAACGCGGAAAATGGATTCAAAGCGATAGCTTTTGTTTGCTAAGGTAAAGGGAAGTTTTGCAAGTTATGTCACATTGTTTAACATAATTTATGTTAGATACATAAAAACTCTTATGTTTCCATGTAACAAATCAAATTAAGCCACCATGTCAATTTCACATGAATTTATCATAGCGAAGACTTTGAACAAAAATGCAAATCTCGAACAGAGCTGAAGCTCTACTTTCTCGTCGAGCCGAAAGGCAGACAAGATGTAGCGAAAGAAGAAAAGATGAGAAAAGAATCATCACGCTAGTAATCCAGAAAATCATAATGGAAACCGCGTCATATTGTTATTGAAACATGGAGGTAAAAATGAAAACGAAAGAGAAAAAAAAGCCGAGCATTGGAAAAGTAAAGTAGGCTAAACATACTTCATAGTGATGATTTCTTTTTAAGGGTAAACGCTTCAATCTGCGGAACGCAACTTATATTTTCTTTCTTTTTTTATTAACCATGGTGATTCAAATGAAGATCATGAACTGCGGAAACCTTTTCTTGATCTTATTACAATACGTTCAAATTTATGTAATTATTTCTCAATCTAAACCACCATCTTAAAAACTTACATTGCATACATCACACTCGAAGAGTTTTCGCGGCGTTTTATTGGCGCCGTCGCCCTTATTCGTATTGTTGTTGTTGTTGTCATTATTACTGGTTGTCGCACTATTATAAGTTGAGTTCGTGTTGTTGTTGTCATCATTTGTGTTGTTATTTGATTTGTTTATTAGATTTAATCCTTCACTGAACTCCATGAGTGCTGCTTCAAGTTTAACACCTGACGAGCGTAAATGATGTGCTAGTGGATGCTGTACAGGATGTTGGTCATTCGACACTTCGTTATCACTATCTACTTCATCGCCAGCACCACTTAGACTAGACTTATACGCAGCATGATGTCCATCATCGTAATTTGATTCACTCACATGATCACCGGCCTCACAATCTGGTTCATCTTTGGCCAGCATTAGGGGTTTCATTATTAACGACGTCGAATGAAGTTGTCTTGCGGGATTACAAGACATCGATGAAGCTCAAGATGCTTTTATGAAAATATATTTCTTCTAATTGATACTCTTTCTTCTTTTACTTCAATCAAGATCCAACTGAGTATGAGAAGCTTGTTGTTTTGTGCGGTGAATCTTGATGTAATCGATTGTTATTGTTCTATGGTTCAATTACATCGGTCGACTTGTTTGCCTAAAATTAGATTAAACAAAATATGCCGATAAATAATGAGAGAAGCAGAAAAAGAAGACAAAAAAGTTTATATCGATCTGTCGAAAGGGAAAAAGAGAAAATTTTGAGCTTTTTTTGGATGATATTTTCAAGGAGAGGTTTACAGAAAAAGGAGAAGCTTGCTGAACTGTTTTTGTTGCTTCTTCTCTTCTTCACTTTCATGTGAAAGTGATTGAATGATGTTGATGGAGTGCGAGTTTATGTGCGCGATTCAGGGCGTTAGCTTTGAGCTCGAAGTATTCTCATAGGAGGAGGGAGACAATGTAAGCACATGTGAGAAAATCTGTGATAGCATGTGAATGAAACCTAAATAACCGAGAGTTGGTAGGGAAGCTCATAAATTTTCAACCCCGCAAGGTCATCACAGGTCATTCCAAACGAAAGCTCAACATTTAGAATCTAAAGCTTTCATTTTTTATTCCCATTCGTGAGGCTAAATTTCATTCTTTTTGCCCTCTCTCTTTCATTTGTTTTCTTTTTATTTCTTGCTTCTATTTTCTTTTGTCTTTCGCTCGTCATTCGACCGGAATGGGTTAAACGTGTAAAGCACTCGGAATTCGAATTGAAACTCATTGAAGAAATATGTGTCAAAACCTCGCTTATTTGGGTCGACAATAACAAACGAATATACGAATGAAATGGAATTGAATACTTGAAGTACTTTATGGAAAGGAAAATCTATTCAATATCATTCAATGGAGAAACGAAAATTAGTTTTCTTACATTTATTTGCATGTGGGATGTGTGAAAATGATGTTAAGGAGATAAATGATACGAAAAAGAATAAAAATCGCTCAAGTGTGTAATGACTTGAAATTTATGTTCATTTAAATTGATATCATTGACAAACAAACCCCATTTAAATTGTCTTTGGTATAGCTTTCTATTGTCATCTTCTCTCAATCGGAAGATTGCAGATTTTCCACTCCAGTTTACATCATGTAAAGTATAAAAACATAAATTGCTTATCAACCGAAAGTTTATGTTGAGTAAATTTTCGGAACATGAATAATTTTCCGGTGATTATCAAGTAACAAAAGTGGTATTCATTTCGCATAATCGAGTATGTTTCGAGCTTAAATGTATGGCGTAAAATTGTTTGCTCATTTTTCTATTTCACATCAAAAATGAGATTAATGTTGTAAATCAAGAATATGAGAATATCGAAATCACGTTACAAATCAAATCGAATTCCTAATCTAAGGCCATGAAAGACTTGCCAAACATGTTAATCTGATAACACTCATGTTATGATTGAAATTAACAATTTTAATCTTCAATATTTCGGCATCAAGTCCAGTAGCATTATCAAACAACATAATTAAGTCTTAATCATGTAACGAAAAAAAAAATAACAAGCGAAGCCAGACAAATGAGTCATGAGATGAAGAGAGATTTATTTTTTTAATCTTACAGCACATTATGTTTTTTTAATATTGACAATCATGAGCGAGACGCTTTCGATCTCTCCCCGTCTCCTCAACATTTCTCATTTCTCAATTCTTTTCGATCAGCCAATGAATAACAATGAGTCTGCAGCATAACACAGAAAAGTCACACGTCGTTTCAAAGACAAAAAAGAAGTAGTAAGAAGAAATGAAATGGAAAGAAAAGAAAAGAAAAAATCGCAGTCAAGAGGAAAGAAAAGCGAAAGAATTGGGATCATGTATTAGTAACCTATATAAGTCTCACTCAGCATCGAACTGAAGCTGAATGGAAAAACTCAACATGGTATGAAAAAGCAAAAACATATCGCGTACTATTGAAATACATTTCGTTCACAATTTGACCCTAATTTAACTCTTTTTTTCTTCGTTATTTGTTTCGGACTAAAGTTTTTGTTGGATAATTGTGTTTGAATTCTCTTCAAAAAGAAGAAGTTTCCCAAAAATCTTTTTTTTAAATTATCGCAAAGTCGCGAGTTGAATTTCTTTCATCTCTGATTGACTTTGCTCTGACAAAATCGCACATGCGACACGAAAAAAAAAAATAAGCTAAACATGTCCAGTATGTTAATCATGTGCAACACCAATTTCAACGACTATGTCAACCTTCCCAACATTTACGCGCTTCAAGCTGCAGGAATTTAAGTCAAGCAAACGATTGCGTTTGAGAGTTTCATATTTGTGAAGTTTCGAAAATAAAAACTTTGGAAATAATCGTTGACATAGATTTGGATGTAAACTAGATTGATCGTTGGTGAAATAAATGTGTTGATCATCTGTTAGTATGTTGCTAATTATGTTGGTTATCGGAACATCTGCTGGTCATTACTCTTCACCATTATTCTTCCGGCATAAAGTATTTTAATGTCATAAGTAAGCATTCAATAAAATTAATTTATCTATGCTTTCAAAATGTAAAATAAAAACTCTTGAGCGCACATTGAAAGTAAAAAAAACTTATCCGATTTCAACTATGATTTCTTGCCGTGTCTCCCTCGCTTCGCTTCGCTCATTCAATCAGCAACTATTACAACAAAACGACTCAGTTCAACTGAGTTCATTGCAAGTGTTTGTAGCAACTCGCTGCACAATTAAGTAATTTCTCAAGCTGTGCAATGCTTTTTTATTTTGTTTCTTTTGCTTGCGATTTCGCACGAGTGTAGAGTTAAATAAAGTTTCGCTCTTTTCAATCCCTGTCGCGCGATGTTTTATATTTGTGCCAATTGTAAAGTAATTATTTTTAATTTTCTACTGCTCTATATTTTCGTCATTCTCGTATTTTTATTAGTTAATGCGAATGTAGGTTTATCGTGGCTTTCGTCTACAACACGACGATGAGAGTCACATACGCATGAGGTTTTTCTTCTGTGTGAAATATTTAAAGGAAAGTGTATGTAAATAGACGAAAAGAGAGACTCCGATGCGAAAAAAGAGGTCAACGATTTCTCATAACTCTTAATAAAGTCGCGCGCAACGTTTAGTCGTCTGATGAAGAAGATGCGCGATATTCCCTAACAACAGAAAGAAGAAAACGTGTGTGTTGCAAAAGCTCTCCAACTTTACACCAGTTTCTCTTTTCTTTGATTGAAGCGCTTTTTTGCGCCATCGCGATGATGAATAATAATCCGCTATATATGCGATTGGTTACATATGATTACATATTTTATGGTTTCGAAAATATATGTTACAGTAGGTTAAACTGAAGTTTACAGAAGGCGAAAAAGTCTTCAAATGCTAACTTGAATTAATGTTTCGTAGGGGATTTCATTTCATTCATAGTCAATGAACCATTTCAGGAGATGTGATGATGAAGTTTCATCACAAACCTTTTGTCTTCTTCTTTTTATTAGAAAAAGTTTTTTTTTCATTGAAATAAAAGGCGAAACCACGACGTAAAGCAGCCAACAACTCTCATTGTTGTCCCAATTCGAATGCATTCTTCATGTTACAATTTTGTGCTTTCCTTCTTTCGTTGTTCAATTTGAATTGTGGCGAAAAAAAAAAAAAAACGAAGAAAAGAAAAGAAATAAAAAAGCAAACCAGAACAGAGAATCATCTCCGAGTAACGAAAGAGTAGTGAACGATGGGGGAGAGAACATGAAAAATTTCACTTTATGAATGTAGTTTATCGGATTTGTGCTGATTCCGCTTTTGATGGTATATAAGCTGAATGTTTTGGCAAATAATATAAAGCATATTACAATTCTTTTTTTTCGTTTGTTTTTTTTCTCCACTCTCCACAATCCTCTTACTTGATCTGTGCCAATGTGTTGCTGCTTATTTTCATTTTCGTTTGATTGTGTTTGATTTGTTTATGTTTATTTATTAGCACGAGAGCCCGATTTTGCAATTTTGCATCATCGCCTTGCGCTGTTATTTATGTGTTGGATGGGTTTTGATGTTTCGAAATGATTCTTTTTTTTCGCTTCGTTGTGTTTCCTTTCAATGGATAGAGCAACATGTTGTATGTTATGTGAACTATGAGGACATATTCAGCTAGAAGAGGGAAGGGAGGAAACGTTGAGACATTAACTGACCTACTCCGGGATTCATTTCAGTTGATTAAAAATAACTTCGTTTGCTTCGGGTCAGAAGAAGAAGAAAAATGTGTTTCGCTGTGTTTGGGATGAAATTGGATCATGAATCATTTAGATTAAGGAATTGTATTTGAAACGTACTGAATTTTTCTTATTAATTTTCTAACAAATTGAGGATTTCTTTTCTAATAAAGGAAAATATTGTAATAGGGAGTATCATTGTCCAAGGTCGATTTTCTTTCTTCAATGATTTGACAACATTAATAACACTAAATCCCATTTTTTGTTAATAAATTCAGAAAAAGAAAATCTTCAGATGATTTTGAAATCAACTATACATTGATAAATATTTAACTCCATGTGCAATCGAAAATCATAACTTTAAATACCGTCATCATTTGTTGAGCCATTATTGGTCATAAAATTATTACGATATCAACAACAACATTCACAGTCATGTCCTCCTCAACTAAGACGTTTGTTCCCACTTAAACACAAACTATGAAACTACAGAAACATTTCCCAAACTTCATTTTCTAACGCTTGGTTTGGTTTGAATTGTGCATGTGTAAAATGGATGTTATGCGAGCTTTTCCATTAAAAAGAGTCAAATATTTTTTTCTATACGAACCATTTTTCTTATTATAGATTTTTCCTTCACATCACATCATGTTCAGTGCTCAACACAGACGGAGTTGGGCAAAGCCGTTTCCTATGCTGCTTGTTAGAATTTCTTTTTCCTCCAAATAAAGAGAAAAAAATAATATGAAGAAGAAGCGGAAAATGATGGAAAATTCTTTCTTTTTCTTCCTTTTTTCGTTCTCTACAAGCACAAATTTATTCTCTCTCTGTCTTTTGTGCTGTTGTTGTGGGGCTGTGCCCTTGTCGGTAATCCTCAAGGAAAAATGTGTCAGTGGGAAAGTATTTTCCTTTTCAAACACAAAATATAACAATAATTTCCACGGCTGATTACTTTCTGTGCCCTAAATTATCATCAACAGATTCAGTTAAATGTCCATTGGAATCACGAAAATTTGTAATAGAAAAATCATTTCTTTAAAGTTTGCACGCTCTTGCTTCACTTGACACAAACCGAACCGAAATTAAAAATGTATAGGAAAAAAAGAGAATTGACTAAACTTAAAAATCCATGTAAAAAGTGTAGAAATTACTGCTTGACACACAATTTTTGTCTTTCCAATTATTAACAGAAGTGGAACGCTTTTCGTAAAAGCTTTACTGGTTCACGTTAACCAACTTTATCTAAGTGCATGAGAAAGACTTATTATTAACATTTTTTCCAATGCAATTATCTACTTGACAGTGCATACACAAATACGTTTCATAGACTCTTCAATTCATTTATTTTTATAAAAATATATTTTCATTCACTATTTTTATATTTCATTTATTTTGATATCAAACTTTGAACTTTCAGACTCAATTTTAACTTTTCTTTATGTCGCCAACACTTTTATTTCTCTTTGCCTTTTATTTTACTTTTTTTTTCTTATCACAGACTTTTCCTTCACATCAAGAAACTCAAAAACTTAACAAAAGAGTTTAATGGTTCCTTTTAGTTCATCTTCAGGATTTAACTTAATATCTTTGATCCACAAAGTTTTTTTCCTGTTCTTTTATTAGTTTATAACTTTAATTTGCTTTTCTTTTAAGCCCCGAATTTTATTTTCAATGCAAATCAAATGAAAATTTGAATGAAAATGAACCGCAAACGTGCACATCGCTAGAGATTCAGCGCATGTTTGGTGAGTTTGGTTGGAGAGACAAAACGAAAAAGCGGCGAGAGAAAACTGTTACAAACGAGCGAGACAACACGAATCTTATTTAGCTTTCGCTTTCTCTTGTGTGGCTTTGAATATCCAAGAAAAAGAGAGAAACATTTTCGGCAGCTTTTTTTTATTTTAAACGAAACTTTTTCAACGATTTTTTAAAGTTTTTCTTTTTCTTCCTTGGAGAATCTTTTTCAGTTTCATGAGCTTTGAGTGATAATGACAATTTTGTGACACAATTTACGACAAACTTCACTTACGAACTGTCTAAAATTATTTTTCACTTTGTTCTTCATGTCGATATAAATCACTCAGAAGCTTGCACATGGTACAATGACCTCGTCAAGGCTACCAATAAATCTTAACGAAAGAACTCATATTTCATGGAAAGGGAGAGTAGCTTTTTCGGAGACTTTTTCCGATGCGCCGACGCTCTCATTAATCTTGTGATCGAGCTTTTTATAAAGTTTCACTTTTCATGAAAAGCTCAATTCAAAAATTTATCGTTTATACGTTTCATTTACGAGTTCAACACATTTATTAGTTAGAGAACAAATGGTAAATAATTTATTTTATTGATTAAATATTAGCATTTTTGCAGATGAATGTTCATCACTTTTAATTATTTTAAATGTCTACGAAGGTTTTATTCATCAATAAAATAGTTTTACGACAATTTCAGTATTTTCAGTACATCACTTTGATGTTTATTAAATCTTAAATTAATTTAAGTCAATATATTTTAAAATTGACATTATCCTCAATGAGAAAGCCCTACATTTATATGAACACTTAACCTGATTTCCAAATGTCTGAAATATTTTCAATCTCCATTATTTTTTCATAAAACTTATTTTCATTTCTCTGTTATTCTGAGATACTTACTTTATGGTTCTGTTTAACCTGATAGTTGACAAGGGTTATACTTTCGCTTCAAACTTCATGTCAAATTTCTATTGTTTCTTTGTTTGTAACCATTCATATACATTCCATAAGTCAATATCAAGCTTTTCAAAGCTCAAACTTTTAATTGAATTTCTACCAGGGAAAAAAAAATGTCAAAACATTTGTATGCTTTCCATCACAATCAATTTCACTTTGTTTGTGTTATCAAGAAACCACCACACAGGTTACAGATGGACAGGCATCACGTTTTAGTAAGGGAAGAATAATACAATGACACGCTTTTTGATATGAAAATAAAGGAAAAGGCTTCTTGTGTGTCAATGGAGAATTGAGAAAGGACATAAATATTTCAGCTTACCTTTCATGTATCCTTGACTACTGAAATCCCATTCTTCATTCAATTCCTGCTGCTTAAACAGAATAGAATTGCAAATGTTCGAAAGTCTCCAGATATATGTTTCTCCTTTTTTTATATTACATTCATTTGATTCTTGCTTTGAGTCAACGAGTCGTAGAACTTCACTAATGTCCATTTGTTGGACTGGAAGAGAACATTTATTGAATCAATCTTCATTCAATATTTAATTCCTTTCTTTGAAAGAAATCTTTTCACAACTTTTTATTTCATGCTATGTCGATATAGAAAAGAAAACATTCTCGTTTCATTTAACTTAAGACGTTCAATGAATGAAATCGAGAAGTCAATTTATGAAGATTGTTAGAAAACTGATAACTTTTATATGTAATATGAACTTTGTTGTCTCTTTGTCGTTTGGTTTTATATTCTTCTTTCTTTGTATGAGATAAGTTCAGTAACATAAAAGTGATTAACCGAAATACCCTCAAGGAAATCTTTTATTCTTCTACTACTTTAACAATGGGTCTGACAACCAGCTATCAACTTCCTAAATGTTAGATCAATTAGGCGCTTTATCCAACTTACTAACAACAAACTTTAGATACTTTTTGGTTCGGTATTGAAATTGTCAGTCACTGAAACTTGACATTATAAATAAACAATCCCAATCTAGGATTAATAGCTTTCAACATGAATCATTAATTAATCAAAATTAGATGAAAGCTGAAAGCATAACCCATTTTCAAAGTAGTCGATAAATCAGGCAATCTTTATCCTTATCCAAATTCCATTATTCATATAGATTAATTGAAGGCTCAAAATTCTTACAGAGGTTATTGAATCAACAACAAAATTATTCCTGCAAAAATAATTTTAAAGTTTCATAAATATTTAAGTTCATTTAAGCTTATGTCATCATTCTCTAAGTATTGTGTTTCACATGGGTTAAAAGTCTAGAATTTAAATGAAAGAATTCAGAACCCTTCTTTAGATTTCACAAGGCTTTTACTCGTTTTAATTTACAAATGCAATTCATTTTAATTACTGAACAATGTGCCTTTCTGTAATCGCATTCTTTTCTACCGTTGAAAAAATTCTTTTTTTTTTGTTTTCCTTTAACTTCAAAGTTTGTACTCACTTAGTGAATTCTTTTTTAATTATTTTTTTTCCTTAAAAAAGTTTTTACTGAAGAAATATTTTATTTAATTATATTTTACAAAATAATCCTTAACAAACGTTAAGACAATAA